GTTTCCCTTTGGGGTTGCTGTAGGTGGTCTGGAAGTCTGTTTTTGAGGCTTGTTTACATATCTTCTCATTTCCACGTGTGGGGGGGGAGGGCAGTGCTTCTAGCACCTTTGAGGCTCACCTGCTCTGCCCTAGGAGCATGGAATGGTGGTGAGGGAGCCTCTTTCTGGGTGCTGGGATAGAGGATGCTATTTTAAAACAACAACAACAACTTTAGTTTCTGTCTTGAGAGCTCTCCTTCTGGCTCGGAACCCTTGCTCTGAGGAAAGCCAGATGTTTTGTCATGAGGACAGATAGCCACCTATGTAGAAGCCCAAACAGTGAGGAACAGATGCCCCAGCTTACACCCAATGAGAAACTAAAATTGTCAACAATCTTTGTAATGAACTTGGCAGCCACTCTTAGAGCCTCCAGATGACTGCATTCTTGGCCTGTAGCCCAACTCTAACTTTAAGAGCAACTCTGAGCCAGAGCCACTCAAATGAGCCACTCTCAGATGTCTGACCATCAGAAACCATATGACATCATAAATATTTGTGTTTTAAGATGCTAAGATTTGGAGTAGTTTTGTTATACATGCATAGATCATGATACATGGAGTAATAATGCTAATACAACTAGGTACTCATCTAGAAAATTTAAAATATGGATACATAGAGTATTTTATACTCTAGTCCTGAATAAATTCTAATTAGATCAAAGATTTAAATGTAAAATATCAAATTGTTATAATTTCATATGCAAATTATTAGAAAAGCATACTGTGATTATTTTTAACTCATGTTTCTCCATTTAACTACTCTTGACATTTTGGGGTGGGTAATTCCTTGTTCTATGAGGTTTTGTGTCACATTGTAAAAATGTTAAGTGGAATCCCTACCTTCTACTCACTAGATACCAATGATCTATACCTAGTTGTGACATCAAAAATGTTTTAGACACTATCACAGATGAGCAGAGAAGATTTACAATTATGATCAAATGAAAATATACGTCAATACATATTTATCATAT